AAAGAAAGAAAGAAAAGAAAAGAATAAGAGGCTAGACACGGTGGCTTATGCCTGTAATCCCAAACTTTGGGAGGCCAAGGTTGGCAGATCACTTGAGCTCAGGTGTTTGAGACCAGCCTGGGCACCATGGTGAAGTCCTGTCTCTATAAAATATCAAAAATTAGCCTTGCTTGGTGGCCTGTGCCTATAGTTCCAGTTACTTTGGGGGCTGAAGTGGGAGGATCACTTGAGCCCAGAAGGTTGGGGGTGCAGTGAGCTGAGATCGTGCCACTGTACTCCAGCCTGGACAATACAGTCAGAACTTGTCTCAAAAAAAACAACAACAAAAAAAACAAAACAAAAAAAAACAATAATGTCACATTTTGTCTAATCAGCTATAATATGACTAGATAAAATATAGGGTTGTAGAGCATAAAAAAGAGGTGAAACTTCACATAGGAGGCACAGGAACAGGGCTGATGCTCAGGCCAAGGACAACCAAAGAGCTGGGGCTTTAGGAGACTGAACATTTTAGAGGGAAGCAGCCTTGGACAAAAGCCCTCACTCCAGAAACCCCTATGTCCCCTCCCAGCACCCTTGGTCTAGTTTCTAAGATTCCAACAGAAATTGGTAAACATTTGGAGACCTTTATAAGAGGGACTGTACTGGGTAAAGACCATTCTCTGGCAAAACCACCTACAGCTGCTATTTTGCAAAGCATAACCCCAAAACTGTACACCTTCATTGTATCTTTTCTTAGAGGAGAGAAATCAACAACTGTAGCAGTGAGAGCTACAAAAGTTATAGAAGATGAAGGAAGTCTCACTATCAAAGCTTGAGGCCAGGTGGAGTGGAGTACACCTGGAATGCCAGCACTTTGGGAGGCTGAGGTAGGAGGATAGTTTTGAGTCTAGGAGTTTGAGACAAGCATCAGCAACATGGTAAGACCCTGTCTCTACAAAAAAACAAAAAATTACCCAGGTGTGGTGGTACACACCTGTGGTCCTAGCATCATGCCACTGCACTCTAGCTTGGGCAAAAGAGCAAGACCTTGTCTCAAAAATTTTTTTAAATTTAAAAATAATAAAGTCTGACCCTTGAGCAACTGTAGCCAGAGCAAAAATTCTCTGCAAATAGATGCAAGAAAAGACCAGTCTATGACACGGGGTACACAGTGTGGGGTACAATTGGTAAATAAGTGGATAGGCACCAGTCAGAATTTTGCTAATTCATTCTGAGGACTAGGAACTTGATGACTTTACACTTCTGCATTTATTTGCAAATTATTGTATATAGAAATAAATGTGCTTATTTTGTTATTTACCTATATGTGTGATTTATCCCTAAGTGAAAGTATAACCTCTCTACATTTATCCTTTTGAAATAGTCCTGATGATGTTCCAACTTCAAATAATACCTACAGATATTGTAGAAGAGACATATTGGAACCAGACAGACTCAAAACACCAAAGAATCAGGCAGCCAGTCCCTGAGCAGACCACAGAAGCAATAAGGACTATTCATTCAAATCTGAGCCCAATAAACAACTGTATGTATGGGCACTTATTCCTCTCAAGGAATTTTTTGTTTCCTTCCTTATTCCTGGCTGTTTTAGACGAGTGGGGCAAGCAGATAGTCACATAAATAAGGTGCTTCTGCCTAGGATAGCAAAAGGCAGTTCCAGACTGACCAGGAAAGGCTCTGTGAACAAATTACCACCAAAGGGGACAGGCAGAAGAATGTCCCATGAGAGAGAAGAACATGAGCAAAGGCCCAGGAACAGGATTTAGGATGGCCAGCTTGTGGCAGGTATAGGCAAGTCACAGGGAATAGGGAATGGAGAAAAGGCTGTGAAGGGCTGTTCTGTCTCTCACCTTCTGTCATTTTGATGAGAAGTAAAAACAGGGAAACTGCTTGTCCAGACCATGAAAGCCAAAGGAAAACAAAAATACTAATGGATGACACACGTTCCCAATTTCGGATTACTGCAATTTTCCAGTAATGGGATTGAAATGCCTAACTAAGACATTATTAGACTCTGGACCCAGTAGCTGTGACAGCCCTCAAGAGTAATGACTGAGAGATTAGGGAACCATATTCCTAAAGCCACAGTCAACAGAGTCCCTTTTGCCTCTCAGATAAGCCTGAGTCTCTTAGAGGAGGCAGGAGGAGCAGGGACAGAGCAGCCAGTTGGCTGTGCCAGTCACAGTAATTATTTGCATGGAAATGTTCACTATTTGACAGCTATTAGTGCTTACATCTGGGTATGACTATCACCCAGATAGAATGAGAAGTGAATGAGCCTTTTAATAGGGCTCATTGTCACAATAAGTTCGCTAGGTAGCCCAAGAGATCTTCTAGGTAGCTGCATGGAATGGCATCCGTGGCAAGTTCTAGACCCATTCTAACATTAGAGGATCAGAAATATCATTTTCTCATAACTATCAATTAACCACCATTCTAAAACTAGAGAAGATACACACACACACACACACACACACACACTTACATATATATACACACATATGTATATTTTGAGGTGAGTCTCAAGGCTGAACTCAAGTTGAGTCTCAAGTCTCAACTTTTTGTCCATGCCGAAGTGCAGTGGTGCAATCTCTATCTACTCACTGCAACCTCCACCTCCCAGGTTCAAACAATTCTCCTGCCTCAGCCTCCCAAGTAGCTGGGATTACAGGTACACGCCATCATATCCGGATAATTTTTGTGTTTTTAGTAGAGACAGGATTTCACCATGTTGGCCAGGCTGATTTTGAACTCATGACCTCAAGTGATCCGCCTGCCTCAGCCTTCCAAAGTGCTAAGATTACAGGTGTGAGCTATTGTGTCCAGTTGAGAAGATAAACTTTTAAATTACTAAATTATATATATCAACTAATAAAGTACTTCCGCTTACCTTAAGATCTCTATGAATTAAATTTTTTGAATGTATATAATCTACCCCTGTTGTTATTTGTTCAAAGAATTCCAAAGACAAAGCTTTGTCTAGTTTCTTGCCTCTTCTCTCTTCAATCCATTGCTCCAATGTCCCTTTATCACAGAATTCCATTTGGATGAAAAGGCACTTAGTCGTTGATCTGGGTATAAAATTCACAGTATGTTAAAAGTAACAATAAATATAAATTTATAAAGAAAGTCTTATCTTTTTAAAAGCTTACACCTTACCTTCTTAAGAACTCCAAAACATGTCTCAAAATAGAAATCTAAATATAATAAATTTGAATCAAAATATAATAAACCATTTTTTATTTCAATCATAAGCTCCCAGATGTCCAGAGCTTTATTTGTTTAGCTAATTTATAAAATATGAGCTGGGCCAGGCATGGTGGCTCATGCCTATAATCCTAGCACTTGGGAGGCAGAGACATGTGGATTGCTTGAGCTCAGGAGTTTGAGACCAGCTTGGGCAGCATGGTGAAACCCCATCTCTCCTAAAAATACAAAAATTAGCTGGGTGTGGTGGCGCAGCACCTGTAGTCACAGCTACTCAGGAGGATGAGGCATGAGAATCATTTGAACCCAGAAGGTGGAGGTTGCAGTGAGCTGAGATTGAGCCACTGTGCTCCAGCATGAGTGACAGAGTGAGACTCTGTTTCAAAAAAGAGAAGAAAAAAAAATGAGCCACCCACTCTTTATTGTTGAAGATCTGCAATCATCTTTGCTAATAGACAGAGAGGAACATGAATACAATAAAGTTGCAGGAAACTAAATTTCATTATTCTATAAAGTAATTTGGAAACCTTTCAATTCATCATCGAACTACTGAGCATGAAAGGTACCTAGAGATGAGAAAATGAGTCAGACACTATCCTTGCCATCATGGGGATAGTAGCCTAATAGGAGAGAGTAAGGGAAAAGCAAAGCTGAAACAATAGGAAAGGTACTCTAGGAGAAGTGCCAGCAAATTACTACGAGATGTAAAGCAGATGATTGATTTACTTTTATGCTAACCATGTTTTATTTATTTCTGAATTAAGTTAGCCTCAATATTAATTTATATTCTTTGTATAAGTCAGCTTGAAAACAGGAAGAGGCAGCCAAGAATTTGCGGAAAGCTTAAGTCCTGTATGCTGATGGTCAGTAACTCCTGAAACTGATGATAAAATTCTCAGTTACATGTGGTGGAGATGGAGGTGGAGGCAGGAGAAAATGAATGAACAGGACCCCATTGGCCTCAGGATTTTAGTGAGAGGGCTAACCCCAAAATAGGTGGGGTGACTTTCAGAGACAGATGCCAGCACTTTAGGATCTCCAGTTGTTTGGCAGTGGCTTATCTGACATAAAACACAAGGGTGTCCCCATCTCACCTTGTGATCTTAAAAATTATTTTCACTGCCCGCCACCCCAGCATAAGTGGTATAGCTACATTTCAAAGAAACTCTTGAACTGCACCACACCAATCACAGCCTAAGAGAGGGACAGAAGAGCGTTGGTAGCTGAGGAGGAAGCCCCCAGATGTAGCATCTATATGCTAAAACTTTCTCCACAAGACTACATTTACAGCCTGTACTAAAGCCGGCATATACACAAGGCCCTCCATTACACAATGGTGTCAGTAAAGCTGAACCTGAGATTTTTGAAGACAGCTGAGGATATAACAAAGGGTTGTGAGAGTAAGTTTGCAGCAAGGAGAGGAGCAAGGAAGAGATTTTCATTTTTCCTTACCTGCAGAATGGAGAGATAACAGTGTCTCTCAGAGGAAATTGTGATTATTAATCGTGGTAATTAATGGCCTTATCCAGTGGCCCACACAGAGTAAATAACGGTTTCCTTTCATCTTCTTATGACTATGAAAATTTCTTTTCAGTTACCTTAAATTATTTTTGCTGTTCTCAGGATCATAATCACTGCTCTCAGGATCATAATCACTGCTCTCAGGATCATAATCAAATCCATCCCAACAGCCATTGTAGTGAACAATATTTACATGATCAAGTTCTGCCAATGCTTTCACTTCACGCTCCACCTTGCTAGTTAAAAGGCACAAGGAACATGGAAGTGTCAGTGTACATCCCTAATAACAACCACAGAACAAAACTATTGATATTCCTTATTAAACCATTGCTGTTCTCACACAATTTTAGAATGGAAGCCAGGAGATTCAAAAGGAAAAAGCGAACATACCGAAAAAACCATAGGTGTTCTCACTCCCACTCTTTTGTTTTATCTCAACATAAAACAAAAGGCAGCAACTTCAATAATGCCAAACATTAGACAATTTAAAAATCATTTGTAGCAGGCTTGAAATGCCAGTGATAGGGCCGAGTACGTTGGCTCATGCCTGTAATCCCAGCACTTTGGGAGGCCAAGGCAGGCGGATCATGAGGTCAAGAGTTCAAGACCAGCCTGGCCAACATGGTGAAACCCCATCTCTACTAAGAATACAAAAATTATCTGGGTGTGCATGGTGATACGTGCCTGTAACCCCAGCTACTCGGAAGGCTGAGGCAGAATTGTTTGAACCTAGGAGGCAGAGGTTGCAGTGAGCCGAGATCACAACACTGCACTCCAGCCTAGGTGACAGAGCAAGATTCCATCTTGGAAAAAAAAAAGAAAAGAAATGCCAGTGATGCAGTTTTAATTCATTTATTTTATTGAGACAGGGTCTCACTTTGTCTCCCAAGTTGAGTGCAGTGGCACAATCTTGGCTCATTGCAGCCTCAACCTCCCAGGCTCAAGAAGTCTTCCCATCTCAGCCTCCTGAGTAGCTGGGACCACAGGAACACACCACCACATCCGTCTACTTTTTAAATATTTTCTGTAGAGATGGAGTTTTGCCATGTTGCTCACGCTGGTCTCAAACTCCTGGGCTCCAGCAACCTACCTGCCTCAGCCTCCCAAAGTGCTGGAACTGTAAGTATGAGCCACTGGACCCAGCTGATGCAATTTTTCATAGCTAAATCATACATTATGTTTTGCTTAGACTTTGTTAAAATCTTTAGATTTCACAAGCAAACCACATTTGGTGGCAAGGCTAGGTATCCCAGGCAGTGTAAAGTACCTAATTCAGGATTTTCAATGTGTGGCAAAAATACACAAAAGGACAATTTATGCAGAGAAGGTGAGATGGTGGGAGGCATTATAGGGATGTACTGCCAAGACCTAAGACAATTCCATGCTAAATGCAGTAAATAATTTGGAGTAAATAATTTGCAGTAAATAATTTGGAGGTCTCAAAGATGAGGAAGGATAAACAAACATTTTACAATTTTATTTTTTAATGCAAAAAGTTCTAAACTATATGACATAAAATTTGCAAAAACAAAGAAAAAATTACTGATATGTTGAAAATCCTATAACAATGTTATTATTTTAGCTTCCTTCTTACAATCTGTTATTTTTCCTTCCTTCCTTCCTCTCTTCCTCCCTCCCTCCCTCCCTCTCTTCCTTCTTTCCTTCCTTCCTTTTCTTCCTTTCCTTCTTTTTTTTTTTTTTTTTTGAGACAGGGTCTCGCTCTGTCACCCAGGCTGGAGTGCAGTGGCAGTCTTGGCTCACTGCAACCTCTGCCCCTAGGGCCCAAGTGACCCTTCCACCTTAGCCTCCCGAGTAGCTAGGACCACAGGCACATACCACCACACCCAGCTAGTTTTTGTAATTTTTGTAGAGACAGGGTTTTTGCCATGTGGCCCAGGTTGGTCTTGCATTCCTGATCTCAAGTAATCTGACAGCCTCAGCCTCCCAAAGTGTTGGGATTACAGGCGTGAGCCACCATGTCTGGCCAGTCATTTTTAATGGCTGCAAAATAGCCATTGATCAGGGTACAGAACAAAACATGTTTACTCATTTCTTAACTGCTGGATATTTTGTTTGTTCTAATTTTTCACTGTTAATGAATGACATTGTGATTTAGATCTTCTTGGATATAAATCCATAATTTAAATAATATTTTTTTTTGAGATAGGGTCTCACTGTCACCCAGGCGGGTAGTGCAGTGGTGTGATGATGGCTCACTGCAGCCTCCACCTACCAGGCTCAGGTGATCTCCCACCTCAGCTTCTCGGGTAGCTGAGACTACAAGCATGGCTACCACACCCGTCTAACTTTTCTATTTTTTGTAGAGATAGAGTTTCGCCATGTTGCCCCAGGCTGGTCTCAAACTCCCGAGCTCAAGCGATCCACCTACCTTGTCCTCCCTAAATAATATTCTTAAAACAGATTCCCAAACAGGAAACCCTTGGGCCAAAGTATATAAAAAAATTTATGGCTCCAGATTAATATTTCCAAAGATATTTTAAAATATGTTATATCAATGTATAAACTACCGGAAATGACCAAGACACTGGACCATCATCAACATTATTATACTTTTATTTTTTTTTTGAGATGGAGTCTCTGTCACCCAGGCTGGAGTGCAGTTGCACCATCTCGGCTCACTGCAGCCTCTACCTCCCAGGTTCAAGTGATTCTCCTGCCTCAGCCTCCCAAGCAGCTGGGATCACAGGCACCCGCCACCACACCTGGCTAATTTCTGTATTTTTGTAGAGATGGGGTGGTTGGCCAGGCTGGTTTCGAACTCCTGACCTCAAGTAATCTGCTTGCCTTGGCCTCCCAAAGTGCTGGGATTACAAGTGTAAGCCACTGCACCCCACCCTCATTTATTCATTTTATTTTTGACACTGGGTCTCACTATGCGGCCTAGGCTGGTCTCAAACATCTGCCTTCAAGCAATCCCCCTGCCTCAGCCTCCCAAGTAGCTGGGATATTATTATCATTTGTTACAACTTCTATCTAATAGAAGGAATAACGATACAGCAGTCCTTCATTCCTGTTAAATAAAACAATGAAGAGAGTAGGAATTACCCTATTTCAAATGCAAAGCATTGTGCATGAGAGAAGAAGTAGGTTTGTTAATCTGGGATGAAGAACACCCAGCACTCCATGCCTGCCTTTCCTTTGCACATCTCATTTTCCTTAAACCAGATCCCTTTCCCATCTCCTTTGCTAGTCTTTGAGGGATCAGTTTGGCCAAGCTATACACAGTAACAACTGCCAGAGTGCAACAAGCAAGATTGGTGAACTGGTGGCCATGTGATTTAAGACTGCCTTTCTATGGAGGTTTTCCTTCCTGTTCTGCTATCCAGCAGGAGTGAGAGGGTAGATAATACACAAAACAAATGTTGGAAGCAGTGGGTTACAGCGCGAACACATTGAATTGGCATTCCAGGGGATGAGTTCTAAATCCCCACCTTATTACATAGGAGATCATGTCCAAAGATAATCTTGATCTGTTCTTTATCATCCCATACATGCTTCCACTCCTTAAATTGAGAGGTAGAGCCTATTTGCCCTCCCCTTGAATCTAAGCTGGCTTTAGTGACTTGTTTAACCAATATAACTTGGTGGTAGTGACATTCTAGAACTCCTCAGACTAGGTCAAAAGAAGCCTTGCCCCTCACTCCTCGTCTCTTGGATGACTTGTTCTGGGGACAATCCTTCTTGACACCCAGTCACTAAGTTGTAAGAAGCCCAATCCCCATAAAGAGGCCATGCGGAGGTATTCTGGTTCACAGTCCCAGCTGAACTTCCAGCCCAGAGCCAGTGTCAATTGCTAGCCAGCTTGGATATCCGGCCTAATCAAGGTTTCAGATGACTACTGACTGCAAATGCCTGGGAGACCCCAAGTAAGAATTGTCCAGATGAGCACAATCAAACCACAGAACCATTAGAGATAACAATAAATTGCTGTTTTTAAGCCACAGCATTTTAGAACAGTGCCTTATGCAATAGCAGACGACCAGAGAACAAATATCGTCTAGCTTTTACCTTAGACAAAAATCACTTCACATCTCTGGATCTTAGTCTCCTCATCTGTAAAATAAGGAGGTAAGACTAGAACATCTCAAAGATCACCTTTTTTGTGAGTAATGACAAGTTCTATTTGGTGCCACGGTTTGAAAAATATGGAGCGTTTTATGAATTTGCATGCCACCTTAAACCAAATGACTCTATAGCTTCAGTTCTGAAGGCAACATCAAAGGGATGACCAATGCTACATCCATTATTATGGAAATAACCATAGTAAAGTGAGATCATCTTACAGTAAGCCAAACTCCTCTTGGTAGAATGAAATATTTAATGAGGACCAGAAAATAAAAACAAATGATATCCTAATAAAGAAGAGAGAAGCATAAAAAGGCATAGTGCAGATTGAGCATACCTATCCATTCAAAAAAATGTAAACATTTACTACTTACTCGCTATTATATTTAACACGTTTAATAACGTAAGTCTTTTTGTCAATTCTGTGTTTTGCTTTGAAAACTTGGCCAAATGCACCTGAGCCAATTAATTCTATTTCTTTAAAATCCTTGCCAAACCTTAAAGAAGAAAAAACAACAACAGTTATTTTGACATTTGGTGCTCACCCCTTCCCTACTTCCCCGCCCCTTTCCCTTTAATGTCACTTGTGAAATAGACAGTATAACAAACATGATTCTCTCCTGAATAAGAAAGATACACTTGGCAGAAGCTCTTGATTCACAGAGGCTCACTCCTCCCAGGGCAAGTCCAACATAACAGATCACCCCCGGCAGTCACAGTCAACTGCTGGCTTTTCAACAGCCATGATAAGGCCAGGCGCAGTGACCCATGCCTATAATCCTAGCACTTTGGGAAGCCAAGGCAGGTGGATCCCCTGAGGTTAAGAGTTCAAGACCAACCTGGCCAACATGGTTGGCTTACAATATTTTATTTTATTTATTTATTTATTTAGACAAGAGTCTTGCCCCTGTCACCCAAGCTGGAGTTCAGTGGTACAGTATCGGCTCACTGCAACCTCTGCCTCCCAGGTTCAAGCAATTCTCCTGCCTCAGCCTCCCAAGTAGCTGGGACTACAGGCATGTGCCATCATGCCCAGCTAACTTTTGTATTTTTAGTAGAGATGAGGTTTCACCATGTTGACCAGGCTGGTCTAGAACTCCTGACCTCAAGTGATCTACCCGCCGTGGCCTCCCAAAGTGCTGGGATTACAGGTGTGAGCCACTGCACCTGGCCTGGCTGCCAATATTTTAATCCCCACCCATTCTCCCTGCAATACTCCTATTCTCCCAATTAAAAAACCAGATGGCTCCTATAGACTGGTTCAGGATTTGCAACAAATCAACTCCGCTATTGTTCCTGTTTGTCCTGTTGTCCCAAACCCCTACACTCTCCTATTGCAAGCTCCTCCCAACACTAGCTATTTCTCTGCATTAGACCTCAAAGATGCCTTTCATACTATCCCTCTACATCCCTCCTCTCAAAACCTTTTTGCTTTCACTTGGACTGACGCTGATACAGGCTACTCCCAACAGCTCGCCTGGACTGTCTTCCCCTGGGGTTTAGGGACAGGCCTCATGATTTCGGTCAGGCACTTCAACTGGACCTCTCCCAACTACCTTTACCACCTGGCGTTTTGCTTCAACATGTGGACGATTTACTCATTTGCAGCCCCTCTCTAGAACATTGTATTCAACACACCACCGGGCTTTTAAATTTTTTGGCTAAATGTGGGTACTTGGGATCCAAAAGGAAGGCCCAATTTTCCTCTCCAAATGTTTCATACCTAGGATTAATCATAACTCAAAATACTCAAGAAATTCCACTGACATGAAAGCAAGGCATTCAACAAATCCCATTTCCTAACACAAAAAGGGACTGACTTTCTTTCTTTGGATTAGTGGGATATTTCCCATTACAGATGGCAAATTTTGCCACTATCGCTAAACCTCTTTATGAACACACAAAAGGAAATCTTGACCAACCACTCATTCCCACCCCAGACCTTTATCAAGCTTTCGCTCACCTAAAACGTACCTTATTACAGGCCCTGCTTAGGCCCTCCAAACCCACTAAGATCTTTACATCTACATTTACACAGTTCTCATAATCAGGCCCTTGGACCATTAGCCCAACCTACGGGAGATTCCCTCCAACCAGTGGCATATTTTTCAAAACAACTTGACCCCATTTACAAAAGCTGGCCCCTTTGCTTAAAAAATTTGGCCACAATCTCTTTAATTATCCCTGAGGCACAGACTCACATTCTATGAACCTCTTCAGGTATTTTCTTCTCACAGTCTATAGGATATGCTCAGCCATAAGGCACTCACTTCCATCTCATTCCCTAGCATGCAAGTCCTACATTCAACCCTCCTTCAACCCTCTCTCTCTTCATAGATGTTCCCCCCCAATCCTGCTACTCTTTTATCTTCAACACTAATTTTGGACCACGACCAACCCTCATGCTCTGATCCAACTGAAAGTTCTCTCACCATGTTTCACCACCTTACTTCTATTCACATAAAGCGAGCCCTAGATTAGTTTATAGCGCATCAAAAAACCCTTCCCTCCAAGCAGGATGTGCCATCACTGAGGGATATCATGAGGATACCTACTCTCTTCCACCTAGAAGAATTATAAAGCCTGCCCCCTTGCCTTTGGGCACATCCTCCCAACAAGCAGAATTAGTTGCCCTAATTAGAGCATCAACCCTACCAAAAAACACACAAGTTAATATATACACTAATTCTAAATATGCTTATAATATCAACAATTCCACTGCCCAAATTTGGAGCAAGCGGGACTATCTCACAGCTAAGGGAACTCCTATCATTGATGGAAAACTAGTCCATCATCTACTAAAGGCAGCTCTACTTCCAGAAAAAGTTGCAGCTTTCTATTGCAAAGGATACCAATCAGATAAAAGACACATTTCTTTTGGGAATCGTGAGCCTGACTATTGGGCAAAACACGCCTCCAACCAATCATCCAATTCTCCAATATCTATTTCCCCTCACACAACATATCACCTCCTTTTATCCTGAACACCAAATACAACAACATGGTGAAACCCTGTCTCTACTAAAAATAAAAATAAATAAATTAGCTGGGCATGGTGGTGTGTGCCTGTAATCCCAGCTACTTGGGAGACTGAGACAGGAGAATCACTTGAACCTGGGAGGCGAAGGTTGCAGTGAGTCAAGATCATGCCATTGCACTCCAGCCTGGGCGACAAAGTGAGACTCCATCTCGGGAAAAAAAAAAAAAAAAAAAAAAAAAAACTAATCACAGCAGGGGCGCAATTCAAACTCCCATACGGGTTCATACAAAACAAATCAGTCCTACCTGACCCTGAAAAAATAACTCTTTTATGGGACATCCACAGCCTCTTCCATGCTAGCCATTCCCTTCTACAACATCTCTTAAGTTCCCACACACGCATAACCCGAGATATAATGGAACAGTTGAAAGCCATTTCCCATCAATGCTCTATTTGCCAGAAAGCTTCACCCCACTCCAACACTAGAGCCCCTTCTTTTCCAACTCATCCAGCCAGGGGACATCTTCCAGGACAAGACTGGCAAATTGATTTTACCCAAGTAAAAAAGGTTTGATTTCTTTTGGTTCTGGTTGATACCTTTTCGGGATGGGTCAAGGCTTTTCCCACAACCAACAAGCGAGCTTCTACTATCACCTCCAAATTAACAACAGAAATCATTCCCAAGTTCAGGTGCCTCTTTCTTTTCAATCTGATAATGGTTCTGAATTCATTTCTCAAATTACTCAAACACTTGCACAAGCCCTACGAATCACCTGGAAGCTACACATCCACTATCGACCTCAATCTTCAGGAAAGGTTGAAAAAATGAATAGCATGCTAAAAAACACCCTCACATAAAGACTGGGTTACACTTTTACCTTTGGCCCTTCTAAAAATTCGGGGACTCCCACATAAACCTTTAATGCTCAGCCCCTTTGAACTCCTGTGTGGGAGACCTCGCTCCTTTGGTTCCACCTCAGGGTCAAGGCCCACCTCTAACAACCCCTCTCGTTTCCCCTCTTCTGCATGCCATCTGCCATTTCATTTGGGAATATGCTGACAAATACCTGCCACAACCTGTCACTGACCTCTCTAATCCCTTCCTACAACCAGGAGACTGGGTTCTGGTAAAAGATCCCAGCCTTCCCTCCAATTCCCGCCTCACACCAAAATGGAAGGGGCCGTACCAGATCATCCTTCCTACACCCACGGCAGCAAAGACAAAGGGACTCCCCAGCTGGCTTCATTATACTTCTCTCAAGAAAACAGACTTCCCTTCACTGCACACTCATACAACCAAATCTAAACCCCCTTCAGCCTTCTCTTGTGTCTCCATAGGACCTACTTCCCTTCGTCTCACCCGAATGCCGGAGGAAAAGGAAGAGAAATTCACCTAAGCAGCTATGTCTCTTTGTCTCCCAGACTTTCATTTCTTCCTAACTAACCTTGTTACAGACCTTCAGTGGTACGCTTACGAAACTCCCATCATATATCCTGATTGGTTCCTACTATTCCATATTTATGGCTTCAAAAAACTTTCCAGGACTTTACTTCTACCCAAAAAACTTTTTTCTCCTTTTGCTTGTTTCTTTCAATATAAATTCCCTAATGACATCAACCTCACCAATACAACCACTCCTCACTGCTCTCAAACTAGAATGCTCTATAAATCTTACACAACCCCTCTTGCTGCAAGCTCTCTTGCTTTGCTCCAGAATGCAGGATGTGTTTGTTGCTGTCTTCCTCAGCTTACACAGCCCTTCCTATACTCTGTCATGACCTTTTAATAGGAAACATATCCCTAATCTATAAACTCCAAAAAGGAGCTTCCTTTTACGAAAGAGCTGACACTCTGGTCAGCGATTATCCCACCTCCATGGCCAACGAGGCCAACAAACTATTTCAAACGTATTACAATTCCCTACAATGCCTTAAGCCCCAAGGCCCTCCCATTGAAGGGCTCATAACTAAACACCCTCCTCTTTTACAACAAGCTTCACTTTGTTTTTCAGCCTCTGAGGGAAATTTCCCTGTCAGGTCCTTAACACTTGACTAATGTAACCGCACTATCATTGTTAAACACCCATCTGACCATCAAACGAACCAAGTTGACCAAGTTGAAGTGAATGGACCATTTCTGCAACCTACTCCTTTTACAGCCTCTCCCTCGACCAATGCCTCCGGCCTAATTTGTGCTGTCCCTAGTGCCCACCTTTATCCATGGCTCAATAACAATGGTGCAACATCCGATCACATTAAATGTGTAAAAAGTAACTCTGCCTATATCTCTACTATAGTGGGTGATTCCTTGGCCTCCTCCTCGTCCACCTGGAGTAACAAACCACAGGAAAGAAAAAAATCCCGTCTTTAATTCACTTGTTTTCTTTCCGTATCCTCACCTGTATTTACGACAAAGGCTTATTTTTTGCGTGTGGTACCAACGACATATCTTTGTCTCCCCACCAACTGGACCAGAACCTATACCCTAGTTTATCTTTCTCCCTCCATGGGACTAGTTTCTCCTAGCCAACCATTGCCCGTTCCATCCCTCCAATACATTAGGAAGAGGAAGGCCATCCACGTCATTCCTTTAACAGCTGCCTTGGCTATAACCTCCAGACTTGGATTGGGAGCAGGCAGATTGGCCACCTCCTTAACATCCCGTAAAGCTCTTTCCACAGAGCTACAGGGTTCTTTAGAAGATAGAGCCTGAAGGCTTACAAGAGTCCAAGACAAACTAGACTCCTTGGCTGTAGTAGTCCTCCAAAATAGATGGGGACTAGATCTTATAATGTCTGAAAAAGAGGACCTCTGCCTCTCACTGGGTGAGGAATGTTGCTTCTATCTCAACCAATCCAGCCTAGTAAGAGACGATGCTGAAAAACTTAAAGAAAGGGCTAAAAAGCTAAAGGGATAGCTGTAGGGTCCAGCCCCACAGGGTCTCATGGGTGTCCTTTTGTGTGTGGAGATGACAGATTGCAGGAAAGAAAGACATAAGGATTCAGAGATAAGAGAAGAATTCAGGTGGACTTGGGGGACCACTGCTACCAAGGCACGGAGTCCAGCAATGGCCCCGAATGCCTGGACGTGCTGATATTTATTGTATAAAAGGCAGGGGACAGGGCCAGGTGAGTGACTCATTTGACATGATTGGTAGGGGTCAAGCAAATCACATGCTTTCAATACGGGGGGCCACATGGGTACAGTACAGAGGGCCACTGGGTATAGTACAGGGGGTCACGTGGGTATAGTACAGGGACCCCTCCCTCTCATGTAGCCACTGCATGGAGGGGAGGCACATAGGTCAGTATTTTTCTATGCACTTACCAGAGAGATCAAAGGCTTTTAGAATTCCTCTATTCTTACTTGTCACAACTTCTAAGAATTTACAAGGGAGCACTGGGTGGGAAAGTGGAACATGAAAGTGGACAAGGATGGTGACCATCGGAGCACAGCACCACGGAGAGGTGTTTAAGCCCCTGGATATCTGTGGGCTGGCCTGACTAGTGTTAGACCTTCCTCAAGAGCTGGACAGAGCAGAGTATTCTCTGAACTCCCCAGTGAAAGGGAAACTCCCCCTCATGGCCTGCCTCCCCAGGCACTGGCACTACTGCAAGGCCTGCCTGCTAAGTAAGGGGCACCTTACCAGGCACTGGTGCTACTGCAAGGCATTTACTTTTGCCTCCTGATCACTTCTCAAAATGTCCCTTCAGTTCTGAATTATATTTCACCTGATTATTTCTATACTATAAGGCTAAAAATGTTCCTACACTATAATACTAAAGCAAAGGTTAATAATAGAGAATAATAATGTAATAAGATTGATTTATATAATTAATTATGTGATTGTATCTAAGTCTATTTGGTGTCATTGCTATAACTAAGTAATTGTTTATTATGCTGGGACAGATTGTGCCTTCAGTCTCTTGCCATGGCACCTGGGCAACTTTCTTCCCACAATTAGCAAAATATCCAAATAAATTCTTGGTTTGGGAACAAAATCATCACATGGGTCATCTCATTCCTGGGCCCGCTCCTAATGATATGCCTAGGACTAATGCTCTTAACCTGCCTAATTGATCTGATTCAAAGATTTTTAACCAACAGGATCATGGCCATTTCACAGAAAACTATCCAAAAACATCTACAGAAGGCATTACTCCTACAGTTAATCTGAGACCAAAGAACTCTCCACCTCCCCTGCTCTACAGGAAGTAGCCAGAAAAAACATGCTGCCCCTCATCATTTTATAACTGTAGGAGCTGGATGACAGAACAGGAGCATTGCCATCTTGGACAAGCACCACCATTTTAAGTTCCCCTTGATTAAAAACTGCCCAAATCCAGCTCAAAAAACAGTCTAATGGCAAATGTCAGCATGACCATAAACCACAAATGACACCTCCAATCAGAAACATTCCAATTTTGAGATAAACCCCCACTGGCTAGAGACATGCCAACCCGAAATAACCTCCCCTCCAACCGGAAACATGCCAGCCCAAGATAACCTCCCCTCCAACCAGAGACATTCTACCCCCACCATAAAACTCTCCTCCACCCAGAAACATTCCAAATCTGCAATAAGCTCTCACTCCCTAACCCTTAAATACCCTTAGTTTGTAAGAGAGAATGCTCCTGACTGAAATCGGCCAGAAACCTCTCTCAGGTTTATTCTCCAAAATAAACCTGTCTTTGTCTGTTGAGCCACTTTTCACAGTTCCTTCTTCTTTCTTCAGCTCTTAAAATCTTACCTCGTATCCATAGTATATTTTGTTCCTTTCATGTCAGGAGGGTCAAATCTAGGCGCCAAATTAGGCCTAAAAATTAAGAGTTGAATATAAAACTCAAAATTGAAATCAAATATAACTTGTTTAGTGTTAATGTTAACCTTTTTCTTTTTTCTTTTTTTTTCTTCTGAGGCAAGGTCTTATTCCATCTCTCAGCCTAGAGTGCAGTGGTATGATCATAGCTCACTATAACTTTGAAATCCTGGGCTCAGAGGAGATCCTCCCACCTCAGCCTCCCAGGTAGCTGGGACTACAGGCGCGTACTACCATACTTAGCTCATTCTTTTTATTTTTTGTAGAGAAGGGGTCTTTCTATATTACCCAGTCTGGTCTTAAACTCCGGAACCAAAGCCACCCTCCCACCTTGGCCTCCCAAAGTGCTGAGGAATACAGATGCAAGTCACTGTACCCAGCCAACATTTTTTTTTTTTAAATAAAACTATTAACTTACAGTTTTCCTCTGGTCTCTAATACTGTTTCATTTCTCTCCTGGCTCCTTTTTCTACCTTAGAGCATTCATTGTTGACATGTCACTAACCTCACCTTTTCCTCCTCCAGACTCAAAACCTCAGGAAGCAAATCTCCTTCCACTCTCATCCTAGCTGTTATTCCTCACTGATGATAAGCCACCTGCAACTGGAAATTTAAGTACCACCTAAAACTAAACATATCCAAAATGCTGTCTTCCCTGAAAGCCCTCAACTCCTCAACTTCCTTAACACTATTAGTGCCATGGTTCTTGACTGCACCCTGTTCAAAGTGAAACAATCTTCAAATCCTTTCTCCTTTACCTCTTCTTCATGCTTTGACTCAGCTATGGGAATCTGTTTCCTCAGGTCATGTCCACTCTCCTCTCCATCCAAGCATCTACATCAAGAATCATCACCTTTCTTCAACACATTTATCCACTGCTCAGAATATACTAGTGGATCATAAGGGCTCCTACTGCCTTCTTACCCTCATTTCCAACTATATTTACATATTTGCCTTTCTCTTCAGTTAACTGACATAGCATTTGACCTTTTTTAATCCAAGTTTTTATGTTATTTTAAACTTGTCTGCAAAATAATACACTTCTCTTGAAAACACTTCTACAGTGAAAACAGCCCAGTTCCTTGCCAGCCTCATATAATATGATGCCCTTAACCTAATTACACTAGCAATACCCCCATAGGGCTTTATGTCTATGGTATAGTATGCATTTACACTCAAAGATTTCTTGACACATCTAAAATTATTTGTTTATAGATTTCAAACTGTCTGCTTCTGAAACTCCACTCAAATAAGGGTATACATGACAAGTATTAAAAACAATAAATAAGTCTGAAATAAAACTTCAGTTCAAAATATGTTCAATGCATAATGATACTCACCTTTTTACCTTCCTTTGATTATTTCTGAGGCCATTCTATAACAAAAGAAAATGGGAAATAGTTTCAGATGACTAAATCAATACTCTTCCTCTCTCTTGTTATCCTTTCTCTTATATTTCTAGATGGCTCTCTGACTAATTTCTTAGTCCATCCATATCTATATTCTATATTGAAGACTTAACTTTTTGCCAATCTAACGAGTTTAAAATAGTATCTACTTGTTTTGATTTACATTTTCCTGATTCCTAGTAAAGTATCTTTTAATATTTGCCGCCCATTGGGTATCTCTTCTCTGAACTGTTTATATGCTTTGTATATTTTTCTACTGAGTTGCCTTTTTCTTACTGATTTGTAGTTCTTTATAACAGAATACTCTCATAACACTAATCATCAAAAGCATGGATTTTGCTCTAACTCCAGTATTGCCTCCTTATGTGCACAAAAAATTATCTGATTTTTTTTTTTTTT